CAAAAAAACCCCCCAAATACAAATCGATTTTAGAAACAAATTTTTCCGTTGTTACCCAGGCCTAGTGATTAGGCACATGCATTCTTCATCACTCCTGGCCCTTTCAGTATTAACAGTCTAGTTGGATGCTTCTTGCTGCAATCCGCTGTCAACACCATTGTAATTCATTTCACATTATTATCACTTTTCAGCACAGAAATGGGAGCCCCCAGTGGCGCAGTGAGTTAAACCCTTCTGCTGACAGGTTGGAGGTTCGAATCTGGGGAGAGCATGGATGAGCTCCCTCTGTCAGCTCCAGCTACCCCTGTGGGGACATGAGAGAAGCCTCCCACAAGGATGGTAAAACATCAAAACATCCAGGTGTCCCTTACACAACATCCTTGCAGATGGCCAATTCTCTCACACCAGAAGCTACTTGCAGTTTCTCAAGTTGCTCCTGACACCAAAAAAAGTACACAAATGCCAGGGCTATTGATATTTTTTCTTCGTGGGCTCTGCGAATGCACACTTGTGGAGAGTCTGCGCCTGCGCGGGCTCCAACGGAAAACTTCTACTTTTGAAACTTTTAAAGTTTTGGCGGTAACCCCGCCCAGCCCCGGCAGGGGATAAAAGGGCGCCCCGCGCCGCCACTCCAATTCCTTTCTTTCCGCCGCACGGCTCACTTCGGTGCTTCTTGTGTTGGTTAGGATAGTTAGTGATATTGTTGGATAGTGTTGGATAGCGTTTCTTCTCATCTCCATCGAGTTGTTGACCGGATTATGTCAACAACTCGCTTCAAAAAGTGTTCGAGATGTCCGAAAAAGATCCCTGACTCGGACAGTCATTCGCTTTGCCTTCTGTGCCTCGGCGAGGCGCACATCACATCGACGTGTCGTCATTGCCAGGCCTTGACGGCACAGTCCCGAAAGAACCGGGAACATCATCTTCGGTACCTCCTGTACCAACAGGCTTTGGCCCCGGTACCTTCGACGTCGGCGTCGACGTTGACATCGGCCACGGTATCCCGGCCTTCGACTTCGACATCGGCCACGGCTTCCCGGCCTTCGACAGCAACTCG